CTCTACCTCTGTTGACATGACCCCAGCAACTCAATATGCCCTCCCTAGCAACCTCTTTACCTCAGAGCGTCAGGAAGAATCTTGATACAATAACCCTACCAAGCGGGCCAATCCCCATGAGCCTTCAGCTCCCCCAGAAATACTTCCCCCTCAGTCCAACACTGCTTTATGCTGCTGACTCTCACCTCCCAGTTTCTCCTCTCACTTCCTGCCAATGCTTGTCATGTGCTCTCTGGAATTCCCTTCATTATAAATAAACTACCCAACACTCAGTTGCTGCATGGATGCTCCTTCTCATGAATTTCACCCTGGACATCACATGCTATAAAATTGTTACAAGTGGAGGCCTCTCATTTCCTCATCACCCCATTGTCCGTCTCCCCTCCCGCCCCCCACATACACAAATACACAGAACTCATACTATGTATCAGAGGGCTCCACTTACTTCTTCCAAGCTCATTACACCTCCACCCTCCACTGAAGCTTGCAAAACATCTCCTGTTCTTCTTGCCTTCATCTAATGACTTCCTGTTCACTCCCACACATTCATGGAGGGACTTGGACAGATGGCTCACAGCTTTCTTTTTTCCTCCAGCTCCCCCCACCCAACCATGCCATTGTCTGGGTGATTTCCATTCTTATACAGACAAGCCACCTGGAATGCACACCTTGCCTTCTTTTTAATTGAAAAACAAAAACAAGAGCTTCAAGAAAATTATTGTCACCTTCCTTACCCTGCAACTTAATATACCATCAGTGTCTATCCTTTCTTCCTTGCCTCCAGCCTCAGTGTAAGAGGTGTTTCCTACTTCCTTAAGAAACAAGTCTCAGTCTGTACTCTGCATTCCATCAACTCCTTCCTACCTCTTTCAGAATCTACTCCAACAATTCTCTCCCAAAGAAGAGAGGGTAGAAAGAGAAGGGCAGTCGTATAGGGAATGCCTGTATTCAAGAAATAGAACAAAGACTAGGTCACAACAGAACCCTGTGTAATTATGCTGGAGTTTTCAGTTCATTTCCTAAACACAGCAATCCAATGTGCTAAAAAAGCAAATAAGATGTTCTATTTCATTTTTGGTATCAAGGGTTTTTAAAAATGAACAATCATATTAACTTCAGACAAGTAACCTAGGTTATTTTGTGCAGATGTAGTAATGAAACCCCAGAAGAGATATTCACAAATCTAGAAATGGTCCAGAGGAGAGCAATTAAAATAATCAAAGCGAAAAAGCAACTGATCTTTTAAGAAAGACTAAAGGAATAAACTCTTTAGTCTGAAAAAAACAGCTGGAAGAGTCAACAGTAGCAACAGCAATAATAATGATGGTTAACATTTACTGAGTGCTCACTATGTATGAGATTATTCTAAACAGCTTATATGTATCATCTCAATCCTGACAACAATTTTATCAGGGAAGTACTGTTATTGTCCCCATTTTATGTATGGGGAAATTGAAACACAGTGAAGTTAAGTAACTTGTCTAATCTCTCATATGGAGTAAAGGAGAATCCAAGATTCAAACCCAATCTGATTCTAGAGCATGTGCTTTTAACCACAGTAGTATGGACTTTCCAGCAAACAAAACTTAAAGACATGAATCAATTAATCACAGTTTTGTTTACTAAGATTCAAAAATTAAAATACCAAGGCACCACTTAGTGATTTAAGAGGAATACATTGTTTTGTAATTTGAATTTTTTACGCTGAGCACACATCACTTTGGTAAAGAAAAATATTAACTGGATGCAATTTCAACATAAATATAGAAAACTCTAGTTTATATAGAAGGTAGTAAACTTCTAGAATTTGTTACCCAGGAAAGTTGTAATAAGTAGCAATAGCTTGGAAAACTGTTTAGTAGCCATAATAGATATGAACCTTTTATAGATACCATAGTCAGAAATGTATTCTAAAAAAGTGGAGTTTTTAATCACTTAGGAAAGGACAGAGTATACTAGATGGAAGGAGAATATGTGTGGGAAATGGAGACTTGGATGAGTGGTGTATGAAGTTACTCATCTACTTAGTTGGCAGGCAACCAAGTTAATTAACTTGACAATTCTAGAATTGCAATGGTTTCTCTCTTCAACAAATTATCCTAGGAAAAAGAGACGAGTCTTCAAAAATCTTGGTAGGAAACACTTTAAAGATGGCTATTCCCCATCTTTAATAACATCCACACCACTATGCATATGGAAAATGTCTGTTTCTTTGGTAAAACAAGGCACTTCTGGGGTCACCTAGGAATTTAAATGCTCTATCTCATAAGGTTTGACTCTTGTTCTAAGAACCCATGTAAAAAGTGCTGCCATAGATATACTTTGTACCTTTGGGATTAACTTCAACCAATGTATGAGTTGATCCAAAGTACTTATTTGAATGATACGGTCTGTGGTAACTGTGACAATGAATACCTAGGCTTTCCTTCAGGTTGGAATCCATAGATAAGACAATTTAAAATCTCACTCCATGAATATGAGTTAACCACTTATTTCTAGAAAATGTGAAACTACCCTACTTTCTTACATGGGTAAGAGATTCAAAGGAAGAGAGTAGGGAATGCATTTTAAGAGGGTAATGGAGAAAACAAAATTGAATGCCTGGACACATGTTACTTCCCTGAAGACTAGGATAATTTATTAGAAGCTTATACAAAAATCAGATCCCTTACAGGCTCTTTCTTTTTTTAAAAAATTAATCTCATCCTTTTAAAAGAAACAAGATCTCAACTCTTTTAAGAAAACTTCTAAATTATTTTCTTCAGATAAATTAATATTAGAAAAGGCAATTTAATAGGGTATCTGAGAAGGCTAATTTCAATTTGACCATCATCAAAGCCAAAACAAAATTTTAAGAATTTTGTTTTTGTTTTCTTTGTCAACTATCTTTACTATCTTGTAACCTTCCTTGGTGGAGAAGGAAATACTTTCCTGTCTTGTTCAGACAGATTACTCCCTGGTTCTTCCTGATTGTAAGCTTTTTAAATAGAACTGTATTTGTAAGGAATACATTATACTGTACTTGATATTGATCAAGTACTGTGTCAAATCTTGGCTTAGAGGTGAAGAAACTGGAGAGTTCCCAGAGAAAAATAAGGATCATAATTAAAAGGTTTGGAAAATGAGACCCAGAACAAAACAATATATAGGTTAAGTTAAGGAAATCTGATAATTCTTGGAGACCTTTTATTTTTTAGTTTTTTCATTTTTGAAGAAGCTCAAGTATATCAGAAAATGTCAATTAATAATCAAATGATTATCAAAATTTAAGAGCGTGTATAAGTTCACAGAGATTTTTTTAACCCAATTAAAAGTAGTGGAAAGACTCTCTACAGAGATTCTTTAAAATAAGGGCGTAACCCTCCCTCATTCTTTCCTATAATTTATTCATTTAGCAAACATTATGTGAATGCTTACAACATGACAGGCAATGTTCTAGAAACAGACAGAAATCTTTGTCCTCTTGGAACTTACATAGTAAATAATAATAACGCAAAAAATATAACAAACTAGAGGCCCAAATGCATGAAATTTGTGCAGGGGGGCTCAGCCCTCACAGTCCCTGCTTCATCCAGAAAGTCATTCAGCTATCAGGTCTAATTAGCATATTACTCTTTTATTATTATAGATAGGTAAATCATAGAGTATGTGAAGGGATTGGGAATGGGAAGATTGCAAATTTAAAAGGGGTGGTCAGAATAGGCATTTTCAAGCTAAACTGATGCAGCTAAAAGAATTCTGACTGGTTTGAAAAGGGAGAATGTTGACTTTACTATGCATTTACCTTGTAATATGCAGTTTACAACCCTGTGCCAGTCAAGGGGGTACTGGTGCAGTTTGGCAAAAAATGATGAATTCTCTTTTGGCCATATTAAGTTCAAAGTGCCAGAGGAAAGAATTAAATGACCAACAGAAGGATGGAAATGCAGGTCTGGAGCTGGGGAGATACATTTGAGATAGAGACATCAATTTGGAATCACCGTAGTATGTCTGAAAGCGGAATCAGAAGGAATGAATAGGTGAGCTCGCCAAAAAAGAGCAGAGTGAAAAGAGCTCAAGGGGAGAACCTCACTATTGAATATCTACATTTTGTGGACTAAAGACAAAGATTACATCGCGAAAGGAGAGTGCATTTTATTTTGATGAGAGATAGAGACAGAGGGAGATAGAGACAAGATGGGCCTGCCTTTTTAACATCCATACATTCCTCCCCTATAATTTATCACTTTGTAAACTCGTTCTTTTAATTACAAAACACTCCGGGCTGTGCTACCAATTTGCGCGGAAATGGTTCTTAAAGACCTTTTTGATGGTGAGGATAAGGTTACTAACTTTGCCCCGAGGGTGCCACGTGTCTTGGGCTCCAAACACCCTGGACGTTTTCCTTTGCACCCCACCCGCCTCCTCGCTTTCACACTCTTGCCTTCTCCCTTAGGGCCAGTCCTGCAAAAGGCAGTAGCATGGGGAAAGCTAACACACACACACACACACACACACATACACACACACACACACACACACACAAAGGACACAGCCTGAGGGAAAAGCAACAAACAAACCAAGTAAACAAACCGAAAATCCCCTGCTGGTGACAGAAACCCAGCACCAAGTCTTTAAACACCGCCTCCAGGCCCCGCCCCTCCAGGCCCCGCCCCTCCAAGGCCCCGCCCCTCCAAGGCCCCGCCCTTCGCCCCTTGTCAGCTTCCCCACGGGTTCACTTTGCCCCGCCTTTTAATCCATGCAGGCTGTCTCACTCGCGGACCTCCCCCCCCTCCCCCGCCTCCCTCCCTCCCCCGCCGCTGCCCTCCTTTCTCTTCCTTCCCCCGCATTTCTGTTTCCGCTTTCTGAAGGTGCTTTAGTTTTCCCACCTCTGAGAGACACTTCGCGCCCAGTGGTCCAGTGACGTCATTTTTCTGCGCTGCGTAGACGACCACCTTTGGGAGGGGGAATTGCTTTGCCGCCCTTCTCTGCTTTCCCTGGGCTGCTGCTCACCCGGAATAATGGCACTGTCACTGTGGAAGGGGCTGGTGGGCATTGGCCTCTTTGCCCTAGCACACGCGGCCTTTTCTGCTGCTCAGCGTAAGTGCCTGCGGGAACACAGGAAGGGTCATTAGAGACCTTAGAGTTTGGGGTGATTACAAGGAACGGTGTGGGGCTCTTCAGTAGTAGATTGAAGCAGCGTTAGAAGTGGGCATCTGGGAAAGGGCTCAGAGTTTGACAGGCGCACTGCATGGCATGCAGAGAGGGAGTCTGAGAATCCAGGATAAGTGTTGTCAGATCCAGCGCTGGGCTGATCAGGCCAAGTGTCAGATTGAGGACCTCGGATGCTCACGGTCCTATGACAGTTAGGTGGACAGCATCTTGGGCACTCCTGGGCTGTTCAGGCAGTGACTGAGAAGTTAAGTGACCATTTTCCTCAGGTAGGGACTAGGACAGGGGAAAAGCACTGGACCGGGAGTCAGGAAAGCAGGTTCTTAAAACCTGCTTTGCTGCTAAATCTGTGACCTTGGGTGAGACATGTCACAGAGAGTGACAGAAAGTTTAAGTGAAAAAAAGTTGAAGTACTTTATCGTACAGATCAAATGGTATCATCAAGAAGAAACTTGGAATCCAGCAGAGAATGCTGTGCAATCTTGAAACAGTTGATCCATTTTTACGTCTTCCTTTCTAGACCAAGGGTCAGAAAACTCTGGCGTGTAGGCCAAATGCAGCTTCCTTCCTGGTTTTGTAGTGAGCTAATAATGCTTTTACATTTTTTATTTGTTGGGGTGGAAAAGCAAAAGGATATTATTTTATGATCCATGACAGTTATGTAAAATCGAAGCTCCAATGTCCATTAATGAAGTTTTATTGGCACACAGCCATACCCATTCATCTAGGTATTGTCTGTATGCTTTCTAAGGGCAGAGTTGAGTTTGTGGTAAAAACAGAATGGCCTGTAAATCCTAAAATATTTATTACCTGACCCTTTACAGGTAAAGTTGGCTGACCCCAGTCCTAGCCCATAGAGCCCATGAGTGCAGGGACAATGTTTATTTTGTGTTCTTTGCTGTAATTTCAGTAGCTAGCACAGTTATGTACTCAATTAATCTATTGAATGAAGTGAATGAATTCCAACATAAACTTTATTTCTTTATTTGCTGGACTGCTTTCCTTATTTAGGAATAAAGTAGAAGATGAAATGTGAATTCTTTCAAAGCTCCATTTCTTTCAAGTTAAAACCTTTTGTTCTGTTTATTATATATAATTTAAATTATCCAATTATTTTAACCACTGATTACATACATGTATTGTGACATTGTCTGAAGGAAATGCGAATTATTTGTTAAATAAATTTTTATTTAAAAGTTTTAGATTTACAGCAAAGTTGCAAAGATACTACATTGAGTGATCCCTCACTTAGTTTCCACAATTGGTAACATATTACCCGGTATATTGTCACAACTGAAAAACTGACATTGGTATATTACTATTAACTGAAGTCTAGCTTTTATTTGCATTTCACCAGTTTTGATGTTAATGTCCTCTTTCTGTTTTAGGAATCAATCCAGGGTATCACGTTATTAATACATTTATTTGTCATGTTTCCCCAGTCTCCTCTGTTCTGTGCTCCAGCTTTAATGACAATAATAACTAACATGATTAAGAGCTTATCGAGTGCCAGCATTTTACTTGTATTATATAATTCAGTCCACCAAAAGCCCTTTTAGGTAGCTATTATTGTTGCTATCATCTTTGAAAGAAGAAGAAATTGAGACAGATATCTAGGAAACTTGCACAAAAGTACAGAGATAAGAAAGTACAATTTGGGCCAAGGGTTTAAAGATAAGGAGTTTGACTAGAGCATATGAGCTGCACTACTTTATGAAATTCAGTCTCTGGGAATTGGTTGAAATTGCATCGTGCTTAGGTGCTAGAGCAGGCGTAGGGGACCTTTTTTTCTGCCAAGGGCCATTTGGACATTCATTTATTTATTTATTTATTTATTTATTTATTTTAAATATATTTTATTGATTTTTTACAGAGAGGAAGAGAGGGATAGAGAATTAGAAACATCAATGAGAGAGAGACATCGATCAGCTGCCTCTTGCACACCCCCTACTGGGGATGTGCAGGCAACCAAGGAATCGAACCTGGGACCTTTCAGTCCGCAGGCCGTCACTCTATTCACTGAGCCAAACCGGTTTCGGCCATTTGGATATTTATAACATCATTCTAGAGCCATACGAAATTATCAACTTAACAATTAGTCTCCTATATTTGGTTAAACATTTAATTAACTCACCCCCAATGCCTTGGCAGGGACAGATCAAATTGTTTTGTGTTCTTTTATGGGCCTTTTATGGGCCACAGGCCAGATGTTCCCCACCCCTGTGCTAGGAGTGCACTAAGTGATGCCCTGAGGGAGTTCAATGGGAAATGGAGAAACAAATGGATCAGGAAATAATCACAATAAAGTGATATAAATGCCATGCTAAAAGTATGTAAAAGTACTTGGAATTGGGGCCTTGTTGACTCAAGTGTGGTCAACAAACCAGCATGATTTTAATCACTTGGGAGCTACTTAGAAATACCTGCTCGAGATCTACTGAAACCAAATCTGCATTTCAGTAAAATCTCCTGGTGATTTGCATGCACATTCCTTTGAGAAATCGTGCTCTAGAGGAGGGGAGGATTTTGTGCTGCAGCGTTTTCTACCAGGGGCTTCAGCTGTAAAATTTTAAGGTCCTAGAGCAAGATCGTTGAAGTTCAGCCCCTTAGTTTTATAGATGTGGAAGTACCTGGTTAAAGGTAGTATTAGAGAGTCAGATTAGACTTTAAGCAATGAAGAAGCTAACTGGGATCTGAACAGACAGTAGGAAGTTAGGCAAAACCTACTTTTGGTATTGGTTTGATTTTTTCTTTTACATTTGTCCTTATGATAAACTCTGTAAGAAAGAACTCTGGAAATATCTCTAAACAAATTCTCTTTTAAAGAGCCAGTCATGTTTACTCACAACTATTTGGCTTCTTTAGTTTACAATACATTATTAAGTAGGGATTGTGTAAGCTTCATATAGAATCAGGATTTTATATTTTTACTAGAGGCATGGTGCACCAATTCGTGCACTGGTGGGGTCCCTCAGCCTGGCCTGTGGAGATCAGTGGACCTCCATGCTGCCATAGCCTGGCCTTACCTGCCAGCTCATACGTCTCCAGCCCACTGTCCACGTTAATCCTGCACAGCACGAAGTAGTGTGAGAAGTGGCAGGTGGCTGTGGAGGAGCCCGAGCCTGAGCTGGATGTTGTGCTGCTCCCGCTCATTCCAGTCCTGGTGCACCTGCTGCAGGTTTGCGCCCAGTCAGTCCTAATCAGGAGAGGCTTGTGCCGCAAGCCATGAGCCCTGCATCTGGTGCTCCTGGATCAGATGAGTAGTGCTCCCCCTGTGGGAGCACACTGACCATTAGGGGGAAGCTCCTGCATTGAGCATCTGCCCCTTGGTGTCAGTGCACATCAAGTGACCTGTTGACCAGTCGTTCTGTTGTTCAATCATTTGGTCACTTAGGCTTTTATAATACACACACACATACACACACACACACACACACACACACACAGATATATATATATATATGGCAGAAATTTATGTCTTGGATTTTTTTCCTATCCCACCACTGCCCCAAGCATATTCTCTCAGAAAAAACATTTCCCTACCAATTAAATGTGATGGTGATGTTATGTCAGAGTGGAGATTTCTGGAAGCTTATTAATTTTAAAATAATTGTAATTTCTTTGACCAGTTAGTGAAAGAAATGATTTTTTTCAAAGAATTCTAGTTTTCCTGTGGTAATGAAAGAAAAATTATGTATGTTTCTTCCTCATACTTGCTTACTTTTCACTCTTTTTTTAAACTATAAAACTCGTAAGTGTTTATTGTTGAAAGTATTACATATGTCTTTACCCCCTTTGACCTCTTCTAGTCCACCCCCACCCCAGGCCTTCGCCACTATTGTCTGTGTCAATGGGTTATGCATATATACATACAAGTTCTATATCTTTCACTCTTACCTCACTATTTAAGGGTACAAAGCAGGTTATGATGAGAATTCAATAGCTCAAGTTCAGGCTGATCACCTGAGAAGAAAGAGGTTTTTGAGGAATCCAGGATTAGCATTACTTTATGTAGTATATAAGTAAGCTGCTTCTTTGGTATCGATATATTGATTTGCTTGCATTTTAAGGAAGAAATATTAGCTAAAATTTTCTTAATGGTGTGCTTCTCATTTTATAGATCGTTCTTATATGCGATTAATGGAAAAGGAAGATGAATCACTGCCAATAGATGTAAGTTGGTCATTTATATTCTAGTAACATAGATTTAAAAAATTAACCACATATTTTATAGTAGTATTTTTACTGATTTTTATTATATTAAAATTTTTCAGACATGAAATTACATTTGTTCTCTATTTTTTATGTATTCTGTTTGGTTTCTAGAACTATTAATATATTTTATTATTTTTTTATTTTTAAATATATTTTATTGATTTTTTACAGAGAAGAAGGGAGAGAGATAGAGAGCCAGAAACATCGATGAGAGAGAAACATTGACCAGTCGCCTCCTGCACACCCCCCACCGGGGATGTGCCCGCAACCAACGTACATGGTCCATGACCGGAATCGAACCCAGGACCTTTCAGTCCGCAGACCGACGCTCTACCACTGAGCCAAACTGGTTTCGGCTAGAACTATATTTTAAATAGTTTTGATAGAGATTGCTCTTCCATAGTCAGAGATGCACTTAAAAAGTTGAATGTTTGACTTCATTTTTAAAATCTTCATCCCAGAATATGTTTTCATTGATTTTAGAGAGAGAGAGGGGAAGAGGTGAGAGAGAGAGAAAGAGAGAGAGGAAGAGGTGAGAGAGAGAGAAAGAAAGAGAAGAAAGAAACATCAATCAGTTGTGTCTGGTACAGCCCACCAGGGATTGAACCTGTAACCTAGATATGTGTCTTGACCGGGAATAGAACCTGCAATCTTTTGGTGTACCAGACGATGCTCCAACCAACTGAACCACCCCGCCAAGGCTTTGACTTCATTGTGTGTGTTTTTTAAAAGTTTCTTGTTATATAAAGTTTAAGAACAAGCAAAATTAACAAAACATTGTTTGGGAACAATGCATAGGAGGTAAAATTAAAAAAAAGCAAGGAAGTGTTATTTTTAAAAAATATTTTATTGATTTTTAACAGAGAGGAAAGGGAGAGGGATAGAGAGTTGAAACGTCGATGAAAGAGGGTCATGATCAGCTGTCTCTTTTACACCCCATACTGGGGACGTGCCCGCAACCAAGGTACATGCCCTTGACGGGAATTGAACCCGGACTCTTCAGTCCGCAGGACAATGCTCTATCCACTGAGCAAAACTGGTTTCAGCAAGGAAGTGTTATTTTAAGCTAAAATGATATGTGTGAACTTCACACACAATTTTTTTATCTTTATTGTATTTTAAATTATAAAATAGTAAGTTCGTTGTAACAGAATCAAACAATAAGTGTAAAAAGTAAAACAGACCCCATTAAAAAAACCTGACTCCATTGCTCAGCATTTCTACTTCTATTCTGAATAGTTTGTATGGTACAGTTTTCTTCCTATGCATAAACAACATTATTTATGTCTGTATTGTTTTAGCTAATCAGAACAGAGAGGTTTTCTTTCTTTAAAAATATAATAAATATTGTTCAGATTATTACAATTATTTCTCCATTTTCCCCCCATAGTTCCCCTCCACCTGGTTCCCACCCCTCCCTCTTCCCTTACCTCCCCTCCCACTGTCCTCATCCAGGTATGATTTTTGTCCAGTTTCTTCCCGCACCCCCCACACCCTTTTCTCCTCCCCTCCCCTCCCCCCCCCCCCCCGTGAGAATTATCAATCCACTCCCTTTCTATGCCCCTGATTCTATTATATTCACCAGTTTATTCTGTTCCTCAGATTTTTAATTAACTTAATTTTTAGATTCACTTGTTGATAGGTATGTATTTGTTGTTCATAATTTTTATCTTTACTTTTTTTCTTCCTCTTCTTAAAGAATACCTTTCAGGATTTCTATAATACTGATTTGGCGGTGATAAAGTTTTTTAGCTTTTTCTTATCTCTGAAGCTCTTTATCTGACCTTCAATTCTGAATGATAACTTTGCTGGATAGAGTAATCTTGGTTGTAGGTTCTTGCTATTCATCACTTTGAATATTTCTTGCCACTCCCATCTGGCCTGCATAGTTTCTGTTGAGAAATCCGCTGACAATTGTATGGGTGCTCCCTTGTAGGTAACTAACTGTTTTTCTCTTGCTGCTTTTAATATTCTCTCTTTTTATTTTGCTCTTAGAATTTTAATTATGATGTGTCTTGGTGTGGTCCTCTTTGGATGCTTTTGTTTGGGGTTCTGTGAGCTTCCTGGACTTGTAAGTCTATTTCTTTCACCAGGTGGGGGAAATTTTCAGTCATTATTTCTTCAAATAGATTTTCAGTATCTTGCTCTCTCTCTTCTTCTGGCACCCCCATAATTCTGATGTTGGTACACTTGAAGTTGGCCTAAAGGCTTCTTACACTATCTTCAAGTTTTTTGAAACTTTTTTCTTTTTGTTTTCCCAGTTGAGTGTTCTTTGCTTCTTTGTATTTCAAATCTTTGACATGATTCTTGCGTTCCTCTAGTCTGCTGTTGGATCTCTGTATAATATTTTTTATTTCAGTCAGTGTATGTTTAATTTCTAGTTGGTCCTTTTTCATATCCTCAAAAGTCTCATTAAATTTATTGGCCTTTTCTAGGAAATTCTTGATAAATCTTATAACCGTGGTTTTGAACTCTATATCCAGTTGTTTGTTTTCCTCCATTTCTTTCATTTGTGATCTGTTTCTTTGTCTCCACATTTTCGCTGCTTCCCTGAGTTGGTAGGGTGGTTTTGTGTGCTAGATGTCCTATATGGCCCAGTGGGTTGGCCTCCCAGTTACCTGAGGTGGACACTCTTGGTGCACCCCTTTGTGGACTGTGTGTACAGCCTTGTTGTAGTTAAGTTTTGATTATTGTTGGTATCACTAGGAGGAATTGACCTCCAGGTCAATTAGCTGTGAGGACCTGCTGTGTCTATAACGGAAGAATTGCTGTGCTGGAGACAAGCTTATGGGGAAGGACTCATTTCAGTGGGGCTTTGGTGTTCACTGAGTCTACCTCTCGAATGTGTCACTTATAGATGGGAAGAGTTGAAATCTGGTTTCATCTCACACTGACCACTAGGTACACTGACTTCTAGATCCCAATGGGGTAGGTTAGCACTGCCAAGGAGGTGCGCTTGCCAGCTGTGAGCCTGGCTTCTGGTTGAGCAGTGCTCCCACTGTGGGAGCACACTGACCACCATAGGGCAACTCCTGCTTTGAGAATATGCCCCATGGTGGGAGTGTGCTCATCATAGTGACTGGTAGTTCTTTATTCAGTTGATTTGCATATTAGCCTTTTATTATATAGGATAATATTTAACAATAATACATTAAAAATTCTTAGTTGCTTTTGGAAGCAAATATTAGTTGATAACTGAGTTTTGAATGGCTCAGTACCTGTTTTCTAAAAATATATTTTTATTGATTTCAGAGAGGAAAGGAGAGGAAGAGAGAGATAGAAACATCAATGATGAGAGAGACCCACCAGTTGGCTGCCTCCTGCACCCCTCCCCCTACTGGGGATTGAGCCTGCAACCCAGGCATGTGCCCTTGACCAGAATCAAACCCAGGACCCATCAGTCCACAGGCCAACGCTCTATCCACTGAGCCAAGCTGGCTAGGGCTCGTACCTGTTTTTGCTATTTGAGAAAAACCCACAAGTATTTTTGTAGCCAATCCACAGAATTTATAGATTTTATAGTGTTTAAGTCCAAATCTTTATAAATTGAGAATTGACTCCTTGATGGGATCTGGGAGAAATACATGTTAGAGGCTAAAATTTTGTGGAAATTGTAAATGTTTATAATAATACTTGTATTTATTTAGTAATCTTTAATCTTTATGCTTACAGATAGTTCTTCAGACACTTCTGGCCTTTGCGGTTACCTGTTATGGTATAGTTCATATTGCAGGCGAGTTTAAAGACATGGATGCCACTTCAGAACTAAAAAATAAGTAAGTTTTCCCCTTTTCATAAGTATTTAATTTGTTGAGTTATGCTTCATTTACATAAATGTGTGTCCTGGTACTTAAAATTTGGTTTTTACATTTTGATTATATATATCTGTGTAATGAAATCAAGATATTGAGGTACTGTTTGATATGATAAGAAAAATGGAAGTTGAATGATAGGCTATTGACATTAGAATAAGATGTTGTGTTTGCTTAAAATTACTTACTGGATAGATAAGTGGATGGAAATAGATATATAGGAAGATATTCCCTCAGAAATTTTTTTTCTTCCCTCCATATCCTTCCTTCTCTTTGCTTTACTTGCCTTCCTTTCTTTTTTCCTCTTTTTGTCCTCTGACTCAGCTCTCTCTTTAGAAGAATAGGGGATTTTCTGCTTCCTTTATTACTTGAATCTAATTTGTGACATAAACTCTGTTCTTAGGCCCTTTTCTACTGCTGGATTAAAGTATATTTCTTATTCTGCTTTCTTTTTTTCTCATGTACTTCTTCTAAGCTATTTTTGTGAACTTTGCTTGCTTTTCTTATCAATATTTCTCTTTTTAAAAAGACTTTTTATTGATTTTTAGAGAATGATGATGAAGGGAGAGTAGAGAGAAACACTGATGTGAAAGTGAAACATTGATCAGCTGCCTCCTGCATGTCCTCACCTGCAACCTGGGCATTTGCCCTGAAGGGGAATTGAACTGGCAATCTTTTAGTGCATGGAGTAATGCCCAAACAACTGAGCCACACTGGCCAGGGCAATATTTCTTTTATAAAATCATCCTTTAGCTTTGTTCATTTCTATCTCTGGACTTTACCCACTTTCATTATTATGCAAAATTTAACCTTTTACAATATTTTCTTAGGAGGATTCACAATAAACATTTATGTGGTAGAGGAAAATCAACCTCTTTTTATTTTACTTTACATTTTAAATAGTCACATCTCAGGTTTCCTGTTTTATGTGGGGATATACTTGGATTTTTAGGTGGGCTGACTTTGAGATTTGAATTTTTATCAAAGGAAGAATTATTTTTTCCAGGAAACTCATATTTAGAAACAAACCAACACTAAAAGCCATACATTTAGATGATTATGAACTTTATTAGACCACATATCTCTCACTGGAGAAGAAAGGATATGCCATTGTAATCACCCACTATTGTTCTTACAAAGAGTCTACTAAGAATCACAAGCAAAGGGCCAGGAAAGAAAGAAGTAAAACAGAATGGCATTAAGTAGGTGGTAGCAAAATATGATTTTATTAGGTGGTAAATATATGAATCTGGACAAAAAGTATAGAAAAACCAAAGAAATTTAAGGAATTTTTTCGTGATTTTTGAACTATGTTTAGAAAACAGGTCTTCCAGATGATCATGGGGCTTGGATAGTGATGGCCAAATCAAAGGTACAATCTCTGTACTGGTTTTTAAAAAAAGACTATTTGGCATGGGCTTATGTTAGATTTATAGAGGTGATTAAAGTTGAGTAACTACAGGGAGTGCTCGGGTTATGTCGGACTCAATGTACGTTGTTTCATGGTTATGTGGCCATCTCCCATTTATTTATAAAAAAAGTTCTGACATTTCAACATATGTACATATGTGCTTTACGTTTTTTATTATTTATTTACCACAAGTAAAGGTCAGGAATTGTTATCTTCCTTTTAAATTTTTTTTTACTGTTTCACTTCATTACTGCTGTGTATGTGCTCCATGTGAGTGACGTAGGTGCTTATGTAGGTGGGTTCTGACTTAAAGCGAAAATCGTGTTAAGTCCGATGTAAACCAAGGACTACTGTACTTGTGTTATTCAAAGGCGTACTGGAACTTGTGTTATTCAAAGGCGTAAGGAAAATAAGAAACTTTTCTTATTTTAAAAATTCTATGGCTATATATTCTTCCCCAGGTTTCTTATTTTAAAAATTCTATGGCTATATATTGCTTCCCCAGGTTTCTTATTTTCCTTATTCAAGAAAGAAATGAGATACAATATGATTACCATTTATGGTCTGGTTTCATGGATTTAAACATAGTTTTAAATATAACTCATAGCAAATTCACCAGAAGCCTGCTTATTTTCAAATAGTCTTTTTATAAGGATATATTTAAAATTGATGCTTTTTTTTTTTTAAAGGGCATTTGACACATTAAGGAATCACCCATCATTTTATGTATTTAATCATCGTGGTAGAGTACTGTTCCAGCCTTCTAATATAACAAATTCTTCAAACCAAGATGCATTATTGTCCTCTAACACATCGTTGAAGTTACGAAAACTTGAATCCCTGCGTCGTTAAGATTTTTACAAATCATGACAACAGCACAGGACACAGAGTTGGAATATTGGAGTTTGGAGTATAAAACACTCCTCCCATCAGTATTTATATTGATCTTTTAGATCTAACTAAAACAAAGTCTATGGCCCTTGTTTGTACACTGTAATCAAATTATTTTTTTTGGAGAATTTCAAGATTTATTTATTTTTTTAATTGAATTTATTGGGGTGACATTGGTTAATAAAATTATGTAAGTTTCAGGTGTACAATTTTATAATGTATTGTCTGTATATTGTATTGTGCGTTCACCGCCCCAAGTCAAGTCTCTTTTCATTACCATTTATACCCCCTTTACCCTCTTCCATCTTCCCTCACCCCACTCACCCTCTGGTAATCACCATACTGTTGTCTGTGTCTATGAGTTGTCTTTGTTAAATCCTTCCACCTTTTTCACCTAGCCCTTCAACCCCTCTCCCCTCTGACAGCTATCAATTTGTTCTTTGTATCTGTGAGTTTGTTTCTTAGTTTATTTTGTTCATTAAATTGCACATATAAGTGAAATAATATGGTACTTGTCTTTCTCTGAGTGGCCTGTTTTACTTAGCACAATACTCTCCACGTCCATCCATGCTGTCATAAAAGGCAAGATTTCCTTCTTTTTACCGCTAACAAGTAATCCATTTGTAAATGAACCACAGCTTTTCTATCCACTAATCTACTGATGGGCATTTGGGCTGTTTACATATCTTGGCTACTAAAGACCTGTACACAGATTCATGCACTGGTGAGGGGAGTGGCCTGCGGGAATTGGCCCACTGTGAGAGTGCCACTCATCCTGGTCAGCTGAGTGGCTGTAGACTCGCCTTCTGAGTGACTGCTAAATGAGGGAATTAGTCTGAGCTGATATTTCGGGGTAATGTCTTAGGTAAAGGCATGTTCTGTGTCCTGGAGGGACCAGGCAGAGAGTTTGCACCCCAAAGCCACTCAGTGAATGTCCTTGGTGTGCGATGCCAGGTTTGTGACACCATTGGGATGTTCAGGGCAGCCATACTCCAGGATCCTCAGCCATCAGGACAGCCTCCCCGGGGCGTCCACAGTCATGTCCCCTCTTGCCATCTGCCTATGCCCGCTCCCCATGCTCTTTCTAGAACATACCTTAGAGGGCCTCCATCAGTTGGTGGGGTCAGGCCAGAGTCTGGGTTGTCTCAGGTATTTGATAGGTGCAGAGATTCGGCCTCACCCTAGGCCTGCTAGTGGCTGCTCCCACTGCAGGAGCAGCTGCTCATCCTGGTCAGCTGAGCAGCACTCCCCCTGTGGGAGTGCACTGACCACCAGGGGGGCAGCTCCTGCATTGATCTTCTGCCCCCTGGTGGTCAGTGTGCATCATAGTGACTGGTCGACCGGTCATTCTGCAGTTTGGTTGCTGGGCTTTTATATACTGTATGTGTATTATAAGTATGTACCATAGAACTGAAGTGATTTGGGTGCATTGTAACAGTGCTAAATGGGTTAAGTTCAAATTTTATTTATACTATGAGATAGTCCATGACTATCTAGGGTAGGGGTGGGGAACCTTTTTTCTGCCAAGGGCCATTTGGATATTTATAACATCATTCACGGGCCATTCAACATTATCAACTTAAAAATTAGCCTGCTATATTTGGTTAAATATTTAATTAACTCACCCACAAAGCCTTAACAGGGTCAGACCAAATAATTTCACGGGCCTTATATGGCTCAGTCCATGGGCCAGACAGTCCCCACCCTGACCTAGTGTAAGTCCCCAAAATGTAGTGATGTAAGCTATTTCAGCCTGCAGATGACTGATTTCAGCGACATTCAGAAGTCTAAACTATTGAAAGCTCTCTAGAATATGGGAAGACTCACTTCTTAATAAGCAGGGAGTCAGCCAAATGCTATGAGCTAATGGCTCAGCTGCAGAAAATGTAGAACAGTGAATTGGAGATCTCTGTAACCCCCTAGGGATTGTTTTCTATGCAGTGTAGCTTCTTTTTCAGTGGCATGACAGCATCTTCTTGGTTGTATGTGGCCTGTTTCCATGACATATTGAGCAGTGTTATTTGTTGTAAGCATCAATGCCTATAACATAAGAAAAGCACATTCTTTTGAATATGTTTCCTCTCTTTTAATGACCTGCCCTGTCTAATAAATAAATGATTGTATCACCTTCACCCTGTTTGGGGCAGTGGTTTGTTTTTTTTTTTTTTTTAAATATATTTTATTGATTTTTTACAGAGAGGAAGGGAGAGAGATAAAGAGCTAGAAATGTCGATGAGAGAGAAACATCGACCAACTGCCTCTTGCACGCCCCCTACCGGGGATGTGCCCGCAACCAAGGTTACATGCCCCCGACCGGAATTGAACCTGGGACCTTTCAGTCCGCAGACTGGCGCTCTACCACTGAGCCAAACCGGTTTCGGCAGGGGCAGTGGTTTTTTAATTTTCATATGCTTCTCTGTCCCCAGAAAAGTTTAAGAGTTAATTTTATGACTATTTAAAAATATATATTTTATTGATTTTCCACAGCGAGGAAGGGAGAGGGATAGAGAGTTAGAAACATCAATGAGAGAGAAACATCGATCAGCTGCCTCCTGCACACACCCCCACTGGGAATGCGCCTGCAACCAAGGTATGGATCCTTGACCAGAATCAAACCCAGGACCTTTGAGTCCGAAGGCTGACACTCTATCCACTGAGCCAAACCGGTTTCAGCTTTATGACTATTTTTTTAATTGATTTTATTTATTTCAGAGAGGGAGAGATAGAAACATCAATGATAAGAGAGAATCATTGATGGGCTGCTTCCTGCACGCCTCACCCTGGGGACCAAGCCTGTAACCTGGGCATGTGCCCTGACCAGGAATCAAACTGTGATCTCCTGGCTCATAAGTCGATGCTCAATCACTGAGCCACACCATCTGGGCTTGACTTTTTTTCAGTGTGATGCTGTTTTACTAAATTCAATGGATACTTTAATTTTCATTGTATATGTAATGTCATATTGCAGCTTTATTTTTTTTAGAGTCAAAATAAAATGAATAATCTCATTTTGATTTATAAATCTGTTAAATAACCTTTGGGATATAATAATTTTTGTCCTTGAGTAACAGTGTCTAATAATTTTATCACAATTTGTTAGATAGCCGAACTGCCATTATAAAATGTCACTCTATACTGAACAGGAAATCATGATTAAAGCATTAGGAGGCAAATCTAAAGTTTAATGAAAATCCAAAAGGAAGTTCTGTTTTGCAAAACTTGGCACTTATCTGTAAGTATTTCTTTTTAAAATAGCACTACCAGTACAATGGATTCTTGGTTCTCAAACTTAATTTCTTCTGGAAGGCTGTTAGAGAAGTGATTCGTTTGAAAACCAAATCATTTTTTCCCATTAGAAGGAATGTAAATTGAATTAATTTGTTACAGACTTCTAAATGATTCCCTGCTTTAACCTTTCTTAATTACAGTATATGTCTAATGTACTGTTAAATGGGTAAACAAACACTCATTTCTTAAATATATCGAACCACCCGCTACTGGCCTTAGACAATCACTTTCAGCACTCTTTCCAGGGGTATCTTAGGAAGTCATATATGGCACCTTCGTTTTTTCACATATGGTGGCCTCTGAAATGCTGTCACTGGCTAACTGCTTTTTGTTTATCCAATTTAACAACGGTTCTTCTACCTCTTCAATTGCCTGTGATCATTGTTTCTTTCACAACTTTAACAACATCAGCCATCTTGCCTCTTTGTTTTAAAATTGCTCTAATTATTTCACCAGCAACAAAAGCAAACACACACACACACACTCGCAGACATTAGCAAGGCAAGGGTTAGCTGGAAACTGACTTTATTGGACCATTTTCTTCTTTGTTTCTGGCCTGAGAGATGCTTTCTGTCATGCTGATGTATAACGTGAAAGCGTTGTCAGGTGGAGAACCAAAGTTAAAACAGAGTGTCCCCCTCCCCCGCCCCCCCGCCGTAAATAACAGTTGAAAACGAAATTGTTTGAGATGAGAGATGTTTGAGAACTGAGGGCTGATTGTATTTTAATCTACCTAAGAATATATAAAATAACCTATTAATCAAGTATTCTTTAAAGAGGAAATAAGAAATAGATGAATATGACAAAAAAAATCAGATGATACTGAAAGCATGAAATGAAAACTTGCCCTTTTCTTTCTACTCCTAATACTTCTCTCCAATGATAATCAGCTTAAAGTGTCTCGAATATTCTTTCAGGAAAAAAATTGTTTCCCAGTAAATACATACTTTAAAAAAAGTTTATGTGAATGTAATCAGATGGTATTATACTCCTCTGTACTTGGCTTTGTTGCTATCTGTCTTATAATACCTTTCAGTATCAGTATATACTGAAATAACTCATCCTTTTTAATAACTCTGTGATATTCTGATGTATGAATGTGCTATAAATGTTTAAACATTTTTCTATTGCCAAACCATATTGCACTGAACATACTTGTACATATAATGTGATTATACCAATGTTCATTACTAGCAGTAGAATTGCTGGGTCAAAGGGTATTTTTTTATTTCAGTTGTTATTGCCTAATTGTTCTCCAGAAATCTTTGTCCAGCCATACTTCAACATATAATGTATAATAATAAGCGTGTAATATGCTAATTAGACTGGACGTCCTTCCAGACATCCTTCCTTCCGGACAAAGCCGCAGTGGGCGAGGGCCTTGGCAGAGGTGGCAGAGGCCCCTGGCCGTGGCAGCTGGTGGGGTCCAGGGCCAAGGCCCTTGCACAAATTTCATGCATCGGGCCTCCAGTGTATAACAATTAATTATTAGGCCCATGCCGATACTGGGTTTAGTAAACTTTTTAAAATTTAATAATCTGAAATGAACAAACAAAACAGAAACAGATTTGTAGATACAGAGAACAGACTGATGGTTGCCAGAGGGGATGGGAATTTGCAGACTGGGTGAAAAAGGTGAAGGGATTGATAAATACAGATTGGTAGTTAGTTAT